TCTTTCTCTCTCAACCCCTATTTGCCGTCCCGCTATCTTATCGCGCATGCCGCACACACGAACGGCCGAATTTCCGATTGCCGACGAGAGTCGGTCGGTTGGTCGGCTTGGAAGTGAAGTCGGCCCGCCAAATATCAAATAGCGTTCTCTGTCGTCTCCCCCTGCCTCTCTCGCCGCGCCGACGATCTTCTCTCTTTCTCTCGCGGCGGAATTATTTATGGAGCAAGCCCGGACGGCCGGGTAATAACTCCGGCTCGCGGGACGGGGGGTAGGGGAGGGAGGAGGGGGGGGATCGTCTCGCGCGGTGAGGAACGTCGAGGCGCGCGAACGAGAAATCAGTTTCCGTGGGACACACGGACTCCTCGTGCACGTCGCCACGCGATATATACTTCATTTTCCATGCGAGCCTGGCGCACCGCCCGAACGCCGTGGCCGCTTATTATCGTTAATATATACGGAATCCTCAGCTCTCCCCGCGTCGCGCTATGCAGAGAGAGAGGGCGAAAGAGGCGGAAAGAGAGAGAGAGAGGGAGGGAGGGAGGGAGGAAATAACGAGCGGAAGCGCGAGCAAGAAGGAGAGGGTGAGAGAGGATGGTCGGCGAAGGGTGGTCGGGGGTGAGACAGGCGAGACCTTTTGCTTTTAACGACTTCTCCGTACGAAAAGAAAGGGAAAAAAGAGGAGAAGAAGAGGGAAAAAAACACAGGCTTCGGACGCGCGCGCGAGTCCGTAGATTAGGTCAATATTTGGCTCGCTACGGGTAACTGGGTCAAGGATCGCCGCCACTGAATGCGTCTATCGTTCCGATACGTGTTATCGATGATATCTCTCGCGCGCGCGCCTCCCCTCCCCCATCTCTTCGCCGCGCGTCGTTACCTGTTCCCGCTCTTTCTCGTTCTGCGTTTTGCCAGTTTTTCGCATTCACCACGATGTCAAGGGGATAGTATATACCGCGTCGCCAAAGAGGAGAAGATCGACTGTTTATTGCGTCACGGTGTGCATATTAAAATGACAAGTAGCATTGTTAGTGATTCGCGGTTGATATCTTGTAAACAAAATGGCGGGACGGACCAAGCGACGTTGACTCGCGCAATGGTGTCTCCCGAACGCACGCGTGAGATCGAAAATTTCGGAAAGGCTTTTATGGAATAGGAACGTTGTTTAAAAAACGCTAGGGATTTTCAAATGAAAATACAAATTTAAAAAATGACAAGTTCGAGCAAAAATATTAGTTTGTTAAGTGTATTTTGTTTAGATACATTTCGAAAGTTAATGAAGTTAAAGAAAAACAAACAGGTACTATACATGATAGATGATTGTTTTACGATCTCTGCGTAAATGTCAATTAAAATCGGTGAAAAGTTCCTCGAGTTATCATCGACGCAAGTCAACGCTGTTGAGTCCACGGCGCCATTTTGTTTCAACAAGACCCGTAAATTAATGAACTAACAATGCTATTTTTCACTTCCATGTATACACCATAATAATAAAACGTAAATTTCTTCTTCTTTTCAGCTTTCCCTCAAAATGTCCTCAAAGAGAGCATTCATTTGACGCTTTCTAGCGTGGCATACTCCCTTAAGGTGTCTCAACCTCTTCCCCCTTGGTCGCTCTCTCTCTCTCTCTCTCTCTTTTTCTTTCTTTCTTTCTCTCTCTCTCTCTCTATATATATATATATATATATATATATTTCTCTCTCCATCTTTCTCTCTCGTCCCTCTCTTTCTGGCCTTAACCGAAGCCTGAAAATACGCGGTAAGAGCGCGGCAGGGCTGACCTAGAGATGTCACTGGGTTAGCGTGTCCATGGGCCATCCATAACCCCGATGATACCGGCGATACACGCTCGCTTTTACCCTGTCATAGAGACTGGCGGACTGCGAGTCCGACTGACCTGCCTGCTTTGCACTCGTGGATGTTCGCCAACGACCTGACGGCGCAAGACTGCTAATGGACGAGCGACCAGCGTTCGTTGTCGCACGAAAAGAACGACGACGACGACGACGACGATAACAATGACGATGACGTAGCTAAACGACATAAATCGGGGAAAAAAAGCGGACGGTTGAAGACGCAAACAATGCCGCGGTTTTGACTAATTCCGGGGCGACGGCAATAGAAGATTCCGCGCCGTCGGCAGAAAAATGCTGCTCGCTATTCTCGTAGAAATTTCTCCGGAGGTAGATGCCGTCAGGTCCTCTACAGGATGTTCCAAAACCGCCGAATCGTGTCCCTGCGACGACGTGCCGCGGTTGATTTGGGAATGACGTTCCTTTTCTTTTCTTTCAACGACAATCTCTCTCTCTCTCTCTCTCTCTCTCTCTCTCGCGCGCGCGCGTCTCCCTAAATATTCTCACCATTGTGCAACCTTTTGTGACCGAATCTCACGTTAGAATTTCACTCGGGGTTTGGCTCAGCGAGATCCGCGATCCTTTCTCGACACCGAGGAACTTAGATCGTCTTAACTTCGTCGAATATCCCGCGCCTATAACCGTCGATTATTCGATAGCCGGAGGCATTTTCGCCGCGTTTCGGGACGAAAGAGTCGAACGCCGCGGGTCTTGGCCGCAGAGAGGTTTGAGAGAGAGGAGGAGGCACCCGGCGGCTTTGGGCAGTCCTGTACGGGGCGAATAAGCCGATGCATATTTCCCCGAGTCGGTGCATCTTTCACCCCCGCGCGCGCGCGGGGCGTAATTTCCTAAATGTCCGCGCCGCGAAATTCAGCCCCGCTCTGCAGTGCAGCCAGTGACGCCCTGACCTTTCGTTTCTCGGTCAACGTTCGTCCGTGTGTGTCCGTGCGTGCGTGTGCCAACGAAAATTCGCAGACAAGTTCCGTGAGCGCGCTCGCGACGGCTGGCTGCCACGGTATCAACCCCTTCGAACGCGCCGTCTACGCGCCCTCCACCCCCGCTGTCGTCGAGTGTCGTAAAGAGCTCGGGTTCAATTTTCGCGCAGCGAACTTTGCCGAGAGTAATTTCGCCAAAGTATTGTATATCGCCGGAGATACGTATCTATCGCTTTATCCACGGCGACATGGAAGTTGAGGAAAGGTCTTTCTCTCTTATTGTCTCTCCCTCTCCCAGCCACTCTCTGGTGCCTTTCATCCGCTCATATGCGAATTCCATGTCGCCCAGCGACAAATACAGGCAACTGGAATTTCTAATAAGCGCGCACGCCCCACTTTCGGCATTCGCGCGAAGAGCGCGCGACACACGCGGAATTCACGGATAATGAATTTAGGTGGTTCGCAGGCTAAATGAAAGCGCGATCCCTCTTTCTCTCTTTCTCTCTCTCTCTCTGTCTCTATCTTTACCTCTCTTCCCGGACGATATATCGTCGCTATAGATGAAACCGGCTTTGATAACTGTCCCCCGGAAGAGGAGGACAGTTTCGATTATAAACAAACAACAACCAAAAAAATGTAAACCAAAAGTGCCAATGGCTGAACGCGTAATTAATTCTGGACATTTCTATTGTTTTGATCTTTAAATACGAATATTGGAACTTTCAACACATACTGGATATATACTGGATATATACAGTGTGTCCCATAAGTTCGGCAACGGCAAGAAAACTCGGCGGGGGAGCATTTTAGAGAAAAATGTTTCGAATAAAAGTTGTAAGGCTTAAAAAGTCGCATTTAATAACAGTAGTTATTTGACCTAAGATGACGTCGCCAAGGTCAGGATAAGGTCTTTGCTTTTTTAGGTAGAACTTTGCTTTTAGATAGAACTTTGCTTTTTTAGATAGAAATACATATTTTTTATTACGGCATTTTATTCTACGTGAAAAAGCAAACAACTTTTGTTTGAAAAAATTTTTTATACGACCTCTATTTTCTAAGATATTTACGTAAATATCTACAAAATTATTGGTTTCAATAATTTTTTACTTGAATTCTATTAACTTTACCGAAAAATATTAAGAGATAAAAATTGCTTATTTTGTTTTCAAAGAGCTCTGAGAATTTTTTCAGAATTTTGTGTTAACTTTTTAGTACTTCAAGAAAATGCAAGAAAATGCAGTACTAAAAAATTAATATAAAATTCTGAAAAAATTCTCAGAGCTCTATGAGAACAAAATAAATAATTTTTATCTCTTGATATTTTTCGGTAAAGTTGATAGAATTCAAGTAAAAAATTATTGAAACCAATAATTTTGTAGATATTTACGTAAATATCTTAGAAAATAGAGATCGTATAAAAAATTTTTTCAAACAAAAGTTTGCTTTTTCACGTAGAATAAAGTGCCGTAATAAAGAATATGTATTTCTATCTACAAAAGCAAAGTTGACCTTGTCCCGACCTTGGCGACGTCATCTTAGGTCAAATAACTACTGTCATTAAATGCGACTTTTTAAGCCTTACAACTTTTATTCGAAACATTTTTCTCTAAAATGCTCCCCCGCCGAGTTTTCTTGCCGTTACCGAACTTATGGGACACACTGTATATGTATTCTATGCGGAAAGTTTAAATGTGTTTACGTATTTAGTGATTGAGGCAATAATATTGCCCAGAATTGGGTACACTAAGAGAAAAAGATATTCAAAAAATAATAAATATTTCTTTGTCAAATACTAATATATAACATGCTTACTTAAATCTAAATTCTCTTATTTAAATAGAACAAACAGTTGCTGTCGTAAAAGTTTTTCTTAAAGTTCTAAGTTCTAAGTTTTTCTTAAAGTCCTAAATGTATATTTTCTTAAAAAAAAAAAAAAAAACAAACATAAAGCAGAGGGACACTTAGCGGGGCTTTGAAGCACCCTTCCGATTAAGTCGGATAAATCTCGATCAACGCTGCGTAATCCTGCATGATCCACGAAAATGGTAATCGCGTAATCGCGATGACGCAGAACGGCTCTTCCCGTGCACGTCGGGCGAACGAGAGGAAGAGGGGAAAAAGCAAATACACGAGTCGTGGAGTCCGACCGCGACGGGATTATGCGCGCTCGTCCGTAAACATCGATGATAAACACCCCCTGTGAATCGTACTGTTACAGAGACGCACGATGATCCACGAACGAAGGATGTAGAACGAGAGTAGAGAGCAAGGAGAGCGGATCTGCCAGTGTCGCGGATTCGGACGAGGACATCGTCGTGTCTGAAGTCTAATCGCCTCGAGCTGCGTCGGACACCTTCCTCGCGCCTTTCTCGCTGTAAGTATCGAATATAAATGCTGTGCTATCCTCTGGTGAGCGGCAAGAGGACAGCGAGGATGAAGAGAGAGAGAGAGAGGGGGGGTGGGCGGGGGGGAAGGGGAAGACAGGTCGAATAGCGACGCGTAATAACGCGACTTAATTGATTATAAAAAATTCATGATCATCTATATTCGGGTGATAAAGTATCACCGCGGCAGAGACGAGAAGAGAAATCGTCGGAGAGTCACGCGGGGGAGGGGCGGGGATGGTGGGG